AAATGTTCAAAAGGAATATATGATTAGGCATTACATATATGACAATAGCCCAGAATAAAAGGTACATTGCAAAGTGGACTGGACAGAGGTAATTATGAAATAGTGAATGAATATTTAAAAAGAGAAAGGTAAACTGGGGGAGGTGGGGTAAAATGTGCAACAAAGAATGAATGAAAATCTAAGTTTTCTGTAAACTTTCATTAACATCACAATTAAAACAAAAAATTATTAAATAAAAGAAAATAAAATCCAAACCAAGCCCTTTACACCATGGATCCTATCATAGCCCTCATAGGATTGGCCTGATGTGTGCCCTGAATCACCTTTTGTCTTGCTGTTGTTATGTGCTGTCGAGTCACTTGCAATTCATAGCAACTCTATGTACAAGAGCCCTAAACCTTGCTCTATCCTGTGTCAATGTTACTGTCTCTGACACACCTGCCCACATTGCCCCAGTGAGTGAATTAATCCATCTCATCGAGGGTCTTCCTGTCCTGCATTGTCCCTCCACCCTACCAAGCATGATGTCCCTCTCCTAGGACTGGTCCCTCCTTACAACATGTCCAAAGTATGTCAGACGAAGCCTCAGAATCCTTGTCTCCAAGGAGCATCCTGCTTTCACCTTCTCTAGGCTGAACCTGTTTGTTGTCCTAGTAGTCAATGGTATATTCAACACTCTTCTCCAGCACCACAGCTCAAAAGCATCAATTCTCCTTCTATCACGTCTAGTCATTGTTTGGCTTTCTGATGCATAGCGAGCAATTGCAAAGACTATGGCCTAGATTAGGCGCACCTTAGTCTGCAGACTGACATCATTGCTCTTCAGTACTCTGGAGAGGTCTCTGACAGCAGGTTTTGCCAGTGCAATTCATCTCTTGATTTCCTGGCTGCTGGTACCAAGAGTGTTGATTGTGAAGCCAAGCAAACTAAAACTGTTAACAATCTCAGTCTCCTTACCATCCATAATGATGCTGCCAATCAGCCCAGTGGTGAGAATCTTTGTTTTCTTGATGATAAGCTTTATTCCATATTGAAGGCTGCAGTCCTTTACTTTCTGAAGCAAGCCCTTCAAGTTCTCCTCAGTTTCAGCAAGCAGAGATGTGTCATCTGCATAATGCAGGTTGTTGATGAGTCTTCCTCCTATCCTAATGCCACATTCTTCCTCATAGAGTCCAGATTCCCAGATAATCTGTTCCGCATATAGACTTAAAAGGTATGGAGATAGGACACATCTCTGGCATATACTCTTCCTGATTTTGAACCATGCAGTGCTTCTCTGTCCTGTTCTGATGACTGCCTCCTGGTCCAAGTAGAAGTTTCCCATAAGCACAATCAAGTGTTTTGGGATTTCCATTCTCCTCAGAATCAGCCACAGTTTGTTGTGGTCCACACAGTCAAAAGCCTTTGCGTAGTCAATGAAACACAGATAGACATTCCTTGTTCTCTCTGTTTTCAGCCAAGATCCATCTGACCACAATCTCTTCTAAACCTAGCCTTTTGTCTTAGGAGAGAAAAAAGGAAACGGAAGCAAGCAGAAGGGGTGGGAGCAGGGGTGTCAGTGTCACCAAGAAAGAAGACCAGGCTGGAGCATGTCATTAGATCTCTGTGTCTGCCCTGGGAAGCTTCCTGACACAGGCAAAGGCCAAGACATATGGCATGTGGAATGCTCACAGAACGCCAAACACTACAGAGGCTGAAGGAGGCAAGGACCTTCTCCCAAAACCAGCAGACATCCTTCCCCTGGAACCAACACTCTGAATTTGGACTGTTAGCCTCCTAAACTCTCGAAGAATAAATTTCTGTTTGTTAAATTCATCCACTTTTGATAGATCTGTTCTAGCAGCACTAGATAATGAAGAAAGGCAGAATTCCTGTTCCTTTTCATGTGCAACCTGGATGTGGCAGGAGATGGGTGCAGCTCGAATATCATCCAACAGTGGCTGAGGGAAGTAGATGGCTTGCAGAAGACTCAATGCATTGAACCTTCGGCTGTCCAGAGAACCGCTGAAAAAAAGGGATTTACGTCAATGGTAAGCTAGAAGGTCAGGGGTGTGAGAATGTGTCAGGAGAGCAGAAAGCCAGGAGAGTGGAAGGTTGGGATCCTGAAGCCTGGTGATAGGGAATCCATTTCCTGTATTCCAAGCTTCAATGCCTTGGTGTGAAGAAAGATTGAGTGAAAGGGGATAATTCAAACTTCTTCCTGTGAATCAGAACAGCCTCACAGCTGACCCTCCAGCAAGTTTTTTTTGTTCTTGTTATGTGCTTGTTTGCAATTCATAGCTACACTATGTATAACAGCTCTGAACTCCACCCTGTCCTGACCCAGTCTCACTCTCCAACAAACCCAACCCCAGTTACTGAGTCAATTCATCTCATTATTACCCCAGTTCCTGAGTCAATTCATCTTATCGAAGGTCTTCCTCTCCTGCACCATCTCTCTACCCTTCCAAGCATGATGTCCCTCTCCAAGGATTGGTCCTTCCTTGCAACATGTCCAAAGTATGTTACACGGAGCCTCAGAATCCTTGCCTCCAAGGAGCAGCCTGATTTCACCCTCTCCAGGATGAATCTGTTTGTTCTCCTAACAGTCCATGGTATATTCAACACTCTTCTCCAGCACCACAGCTCAAAGGCATCAATTCTCTGTCATTCTTAGTCATCATCCAGCTTTCTGATGCATAGCAAGTTTTTAGAGGGAAGTCTCACACGAGGAGAGTGCTTATCCTCTGCCTTGACGCAGTTGGTGAATTCAAATCACTGACCTTTGAGTTGGCAGTGCAACGCTTTGTGAACAATACTGCCAGAACTCCCTAGAGGGGCTGATTGTTGTTGCTGTTAGGTGCTGCGAGCCCAGTATGACTCATAGCAACCCTAAGAAACAACAGATCTAAACCCTGTCCTATTCTGTGCCATCCTCATCATCTCTGGCATACTTGAGCCTATTGCAGCAGACATTGTGTCAATCCACCCCATTGGGGGTCTTCCTCTCCTTCAATATCCCTCCACCTTTCCAAGCATGATGTCCTTCTCCAAGGAATAGTTTCTCCTAGCAATATGCCCAAAGTATGTGAGACCTATATCATCTTCGCCGCCAAGAAGCACTCTAGCTGCATCCTCTCCTAAACATATCTGTTTGTTGAATGGGTTCAAGTGTAAATCTAATAGCAACTTGGTAACAATTTTTATTGTGCCCCACCAACTTTCAGGATAGTAACTGTACTGCATTGTACACTGAATTTACTCCCTCTAGTTTCCTCCCTAAACAAATCCACTGTGTGAACCTGTGTCAAGACTGTTTATGTGAAACACCACCTCTACTTTGTCACTCTTCTTCCCCTCTGCCTAGCTCAGCATTGTCCAATAGGCATGTAATTCAAGCCACATATATAATCCAAAATTTCCTCATAGACATGAAATAAAAAGGAAGAGGTGAAGATAATTTTAACAATGTATTTTAAGCCTAATATATATTCAAAATATCATTTCAATTTGTAAATAAATTTCCAATTATTAATGAGGCATCTGACATTTTTCTAATGTCTTTGAATTCTGACACAGTTCAGATGCTAACTTGCAATGCTAAAGTGAAACACAATCCTACTATAATAACAGAATTGCACAAATTTTTTTAAAAATTGCAGTTAATAAAAACAAAATTATGTACTATCAATTGTTTATAAGGGCTTTGTGGGTTTTGTTTGTTTGTTTGTTTTTAACTATTTTGTTGTTGCTGAAAGGTCATGTCCCGCCTAGGGTCTTGGGAAACTTAATGTCAGCTGAATCCGGACTCCGGCTCCTTGAGGCAGGACAGGTTTGCGGGCTCAGGGCAATTTTGGTATTCTTTGGGCCCCACGTGGAGGTCTCCAGAGTGGGCATGCCAGATAAATTGGGGGTACATGAAAGATGAACAAGGGTCTGCGGCCCTCGGGCCAGTCTTTCATTGTTTTAGTTCAGACATTCCTCTAGGTCATATAGCCCTGGTGTACAATGTGGTCACTTGCAGTTGCTGTGAGGCTGAACACTGTGACACTAATGTGTCAAATGCCTTAATGGCCAGTTACCCAATGCAGACAGAGAGTGGCCTGGAGCTCCCCGATTAAAACGAGCTTGGAAGGAGGAGTGGCATCCACTTCCATAATAGCTTTTGTTGTTGTTGTTGTGTGCTGTTGAATTGGATCTGATTGGCGTAAGAGGAGATTGCCCCTCCTCCAGAAGAGCATCTGGTGAATTCAAACCACGCGCCTTTGGGATTGCAGCGCAGCTTCTTGCCACTAGACCACCAGAGCTCCCTTCTACTTCAATTATTTTTTTAATTTTTTTTAAAATATGGAACGCTTCACGAATTTGCATGTCATCCTTGCGCAGGGGCCATGCTAATCTTCTCTGTATCGTTCCAATTTTTAGTATATGTGCTGCCAAAGCGAGCACTCTACTTCAATTTTTAAATAAAAGTCAAAGCCAGTTTTTCAGTTTCATTGGCCACATTTCAAGTGTGACTATTGTTTTGAACAGCACAGGTGTAGCCATCCTGGGTATCTTGGACATTTCATAGTTCCTGTTCCCTCACAGTCCCCTGTTGTTGTTATGTGCCATCAAGTTACCTGCAACTCATTGTGACCCTATGTAAAAGAGCCCTAAACCCTGTTCTGTCCTGTGCCAATCTTAATGTCTCTGACATACCTACCTCCATTACCCCAGTCACTGAGTCAATCCGTCTCATCGAGGGTCTTCCTGTCCTGCTCTGTCTCTCCACCCTCCCAAGCATGAAATCCCTCTCCAAAGACCGGTCCCTCCTTGAACATGTCCAAAATATGTGAGACAGAGTTTCAGAATCCTTGCCTCCAAGGAGCAGCCTGGTTTAACCCTCTCTAGGTGAACCTGTTTGTTCTCCTAGCAGTCCATGGTATATTCAATATTCTTCTCCAGCACCACAGTTCTCTGCAAAAGAACTCTCCCCTCTAGTCAGATCTGTGTCCTGCCACATTCAGGCCTAGGCCCCGTCTGGGTCTTAGCTAGGGCTCTGTCAGAAATGCCCTTCTGTCCTCTGCCTACGTAGTCCATGACCATCAAGACCATCACCAATGAAGCCTTCTCTTCATCTGATCTTCTTTGTACTTCTGAACTTCAGTAGGACCCTATCGCTTGATACTTAATCGTTCTCTATTTCAAGTGCTAATTTTGTCTGTCCTCCTAGATTGTCCACTTGGGATAACAAGGAATGGATTACACAAATCCCTATTCCTGTACTCACTGCACCCCACCATCTAAAACAGTGTTAAGAAGGCTTTGGGTTGGTGGATTCTACTCACTTGAGAGGTTTGTTTGGGAACTGACAACACTCACTAATTCATCACTGATCACTATCTTTCTTGTAGAGTTGCCAAATGTAGAAAATAAAACCACAAGACCTCCATTAATTTCAGAGAAATACCAACATAAAAAAAATGAACATGTTCTGTCCAAAATATTTAGTGGGGTAGACTTATACTAAAAAGGTTGTTCCTTGTCAGGACTTTTGCTTTAACAGAGTGTTCTGTATTTTGTGTGGCAACCTTACTTTCATGAGCCTCTGTTGTGCTGTCTGCTCAGCATCCATTTATCCTTGATTTTCCTCTGGAAAACGACAGCTCCCCCAATCTCAGGCCATGTGGCTTGACTGGGATTTACCTCTCCTTTACCCACTGCCCCCTGGAAGGTGGTGAACATGAATCAGGTCTGAGCAGAGAGCCTCCTTCCCGTGAAGAGTTATCAGTTCAGGGATTGGCATATTGTCCAAATCAAACCATCAGAACCCTCCTCTAGGCATTTGAAAGAATCATGGCAACAAAGTCTACTAAGTACCTTACCTATTACACTGACATTGCTGGAGGCCAGTTTTCCAACTCATGGGGGAAACAGAGAGGAGCAGAGCTGAGAGCTGACGGTTCTGGAGCACACGGTTTGAGTGTCTGGGTCTAGCTACCCCAGGACTTTTCATGTACATGAGCCCATCATTAGTCTTATTTAGCTTAACCCAGTATGAATCAGGTTTCTGTCACCAGAGAGGGGACAATGAATAAGGATGGCAGAGGAAGAATTGATGCCTTTGAGCTGTGATGCCGTAGAAGAGTACTGAATATCCCATGGACTGCCAGAACGAACAGACATGACTTGAAAAGAATGTAGCCAGAGTGCTCCTTGGAGGCAATGATGGCGAAGCTTTGTCTTTCTTACTTTGAACATGTAGTTAGGCGAGGCTCTTCCTTGGAAAGGGGAGTCATGCTTGGAAAGATGGAGGGTCAGCAAAAGAGAAGAAGACCCCCAATGAGATCGATTGACACAATGACCTCACCAATGGGTGCTAGCGTGTCAGAGATGATAAGAATGACACAGGATAGGGCAGAGTTCTTTGACCCCATAGGGTCACAATATGAGTCCTACTTGACTCAATGGCGCCTAACAACAACAACCACCTTAGCTGTTGCAACCTTACCTTTGAGCCCGCTCACTCTGTCCCTACCTGCAACATGGCCAGAGCTCGCCAGAAGAGCTTGGAGTTCCGAATGCGGAGGTCCAGCATGTGGTTTTGTAGGATCTTCCCAAGAAGAACGTGGGCCCCAGTACTCACTGTGTTCAGCACCCACTTGGTGCTTAGCTCGCGCTGGAACTTCTAGACAGTAGAGATAAGAAGATAATGGAAGTGAGAGAAGGTACGAGTCCCAGCATGAACATTACGTTACAGTCAGACAGGAGTTAAAGGATTGAAAATCTGGGGCCAAAATACAGATGCCTTTCACTTGACTAGAGCAGGGTTTAATTTTGGGGAGAGTGGTCCTAAACCAGCTCTGTACAGGGCAAAGCTGGTAGTTTCACATATTTGTGGTTCCAATCCCATAGTAGGAATTTCATGCCAAAATTTTCCTTTTGTTCCCTGGGTGCCAGACAGGTTAAGAGTGGAAGTCGTAGGATTAATTCTACTAAACCATAGCTCAAAGACAAAGTCCATATTTTACTGTAGAGAACTCTGGCTGCCTAGTGGTAAAAAGCTGTCCTGCAGTCCTAATGGCATGTGGTTCAAATCTGCCAGCTGCTTCACCAAAGATCTTCTCCTGTGTGGTTTGTTGTTTTTGTTGTTAGGTGCTGTCGAGTCAAGTATGACTTATGACACTATGAAGAGCAGATCTGAACCCTGTGCCATGCTCACACTTTTTGACACATGAGAAACCACTGTGGAGTCACCATGTCAATCCACCTGGTTGAGGGTCTTCTTCTCCTTCACTGACCTTTCACCCTTCCAAGCATCATATCTCTTTCCAAGAAACAGCCCAAAGTATGTGAGGTGAAGTCTCATCATCTTTGCCTCCAAGGAGCACTCTTGGCTGCATCCTCTCCGAGACATATCTATTTGTTCTCTTGGCCGTCCATGGAATGTCCAGTGCTCTTCTCCAACACCACACCTCAGTTCAAAGGCATCAATTTTTCTTTTGTCATCCTTACTCATTGCCCAGCATTCAGATGGAGAGTAAGTGATTGGAAAGACCATGGTCTGGATCAGACTCACTTTAGTCCTCAAACTGACATCATTGCTCTTCCATAATTTGGAGAAGTCCCTTACTACAGACTTTCCTAGGGCAATACGTCTTCTTATTACCTGACTGCTGATACCAAGGGTATGGATCCAAGTGAAATGAAGTTGTTGACAGTTTCGATCTTTTCTCAAACAATGCTGCCTATCAGTCCACTGCTAAGAATCTTTGCTTTCTTGACACTGAGATGCAATTCATATTGAAGGCTGTATTCGTTGATCTTCTGCAACAACTACTTCAAGTCCTCCTCACTTTCAGGAAGCAAAGTTGTGTCATCTGCATAACGCATGTTATTGATGAGCCTCCTCTTCACAGAGTCCAGTGTTCAAATCATTTTCTCAGCATACAGATTGACTAGGTATGGAGAGAGAATACAACCCTGATTCACTCACTTCCTTCCTAATTTTAAACCAGGTAGTGTTTCCTTGCTCTGTTTGCACAACAGCTCCTGGTTTAAGGACAGGTTTCACATGAACACGATTAAGTGCTCTGGAATTCCCATTCTTCTCAATGTTAGCCATAACCTGTTATGATCCACACAGTCAAATGCCATTGCCTAGCCAATAAAGCATAAATAGACATTCTTCTGGTATTCTTTACTTCAGCCAGGATCCATCTGACATCAGCAATGATATCCCTGGTGCCACAACCTCTTCTAAATCCTGCTTCTAAATTCATGTGTTTACTGCCTTTGAAAACCCGCTGGAGGATCAGCTATGGGTTCGTTCCAACTCGAAGGCACACAACAACGTTTTATTCTGAGTACTAGTCCTCTGAAAACAGTTGACACATGATTGGTTGTTGATCAACATTTTTATTTTAAAATTAGGATCCCAGAACACTTGATTGTGCTGATGCGAAACCTATACTTGGACCAGGAGACAGTCGTCAGAACAGAGCAAAGAAACACTTCGTGGTTCAAAATC